GTCTAAAGCCAATAAATGTGATGTTTTTCCTTTGTTATTGAGCATTTGGATTGTCGTAAATAAAGGAAATTGGGTGGAAATTGTAGCCACTGTCTAGTATCTATTATACTAGTTGTTTTGCACCCTTTGCTGCCAGAACCTCCTTCTCTATTTTTTCTGCTAATCGTCTTATGATAGCAGATGTCCAGAATTTTCCAGATTTCAGACCACCCTATGTCTGTAGTCGTTACTGGCCCTCCAACATCTCCACACAAGCTGTTACCAACCAGGAATGATGGCTTAGGGAAAAGCTTGAAATTTGTGCATTGCGGACAGATCATTACTCAGGATAAGGATGCGCTAAGCGGATGTGGGACACGAATGGCTCCCGAAGGATTGTCAGCCACACTTTCAGGCACTTTAGTGCAGTGGAATAAGCTATACACTGTGAATTCTCCCAAGTCCAAGTACAGCCCGAAACGCGGCGACTTCGTAATTGGGCGAGTCACTGGCATCGGAAGGGCTTCGTGGCGTTTGGACATAAATTACCGACTTTCTGCAAAACTGCGTTTGCAGAATATGAGTATGTCAGGCGATGAACCGAGGCGGAAGAATCTGGAAGATGAAATTGCTATGAGCGACCATCTCAATGTGGGCGATTTGATATGTGCAGAGGTGCAGCGAATTGGCCGCACGGGAAAATTGGAGCTGCAGTCAAGGGGCCTGTTGAAAAAGTTTGGGCAGGGTATTTTGCTGAAAGTGTGGCCAAATTCGGTCAAAGCACCGAGGAGGATATGTCATGTTCTTGGCTTCATCATAGTATTCGGCTGTAATGGTCTAATTTGGGTTTCGTCACAAGTTTTTGCGCCAAATTATGGCGAGAACTTACCTCCTCCAAGTCCTGTGGCTAAACGCCAAGCAATACTTAGGATGACTGCCTGTATCCGAATTTTGACCAAACAAGGACTCAAAATTGATGACGAGACTCTCATCTCCCTGTTTAAGCTATCCAGATCTTACAAAGCAACAGATTTAGCTAATCCCCATATCTCCCAAGCACTCATAGCTGCCATGAGATGCCTTGAAAAATAGCCGGATAAGCAAGCTAGGGGAACAATCCCTGCATGACTACAATATTTTGTCTGATAACTCTTGTTTACACCA